TTCTTTTCTTCCAAGAATTGTCTGGTAATATATTTGCCAGCCTTTTTTATTTTTGGACTCTTATCAAACTAATTTATATGACTACTAAAATTATTTTATAGTCTAATTTTTTTGCTTAAAATGTTTTCACTGGGTGACTTTTTCAATCATTTTAATGCTACTGTAATTGTCTTATATATAACCTCACATCTTTCACAAATATTTATAGAATCTGTTTGGAGCTGTGCTTACTAATCATCTGCAAAACTCAGGGTTGAATGTTCTGTTGTTTTGTGTGTGTGTGTGTGAGAAAAATCAGTCCTGAGCTAACACCCAATGCCAATCCTCTTCTTTTTGCTGAGGAAGACTGGCCCTTGGCTAAAATCCGTGCCCATCTTCCTCTACTTTATATGGGACGCTGCCACAGCATCGCTTGACAAGTGGTGCGTTGGTGCACACCCGGGATCCGAGCCTGTGAACCCCAGGCCGCTGCAGCGGAGCGTGTGCACTTAACCGCTGTGCCACTGAGCCAGCCCCTGAATGTTCTTTTATTACGATCTAGAGGTCTGTCCTTGGTTTTGCTTAAATTCTGTACGTATCTGTACCACTCTGTGTGTGACAAAGAAATTTAGGTATGTTTTTAATCTTTTAAACTTCTTAATAATTCTAATACTTTAATGCTATCTTATTCATAACATAATTTTCTATGACTTTTAATATCTTTAAGATTGACCTTAATGATATAAGATTTTAAATGTACTTATATAAATAATACAAAATGACATTTTTCTAGATTCTCTCTTGGGAACGGTCTTACTTGGCCTTTTCCTAGGCCAGCAATCATCTGTAGCTCATGTGTGTTTTCTATTGCGTGACATGTTTAAAGTATTACTTTTCTTTTTAATTCTATTCTTTGTAATAAGCAAGAGATTTTAAAAACAGAATTTGCTGTGAATTACCTTCTAAATTATGTGTGCTCCCTTTTTTTGGAATTATAAGATTTAGTCATGCTATATAGTAACATGAATTATCTCTTTCTTATTTAGAATTTGTTTTGTGATTTTAATAAGGTTTTAGTTTTCTTCTCAAATTTCTTCTGCCACTTTAGTGTCATTTTGCATAACTTAGATTATCTTCATAGTAGGATGATATCTTTTAAATTTTCAAGTAAAATGTTCCCTATGTACAGGAAATCTGTTGGTTCTGCTTGTTGTCTTGCATGTGTGTGTTCTGAACTCTTGTTATTTATTCTGGTAGCATTCATTTAATTCTACAGTTTCTCAAGTGTGCAGTCATTTCAGCTCTCAATTTTGAAAATTAAATCTTCTTATTTCTCATCATTACATCTAATAATTATTTTTTATTTTTGAGTTAACTGTGTAGAAACGTATTTCAGGAAATATTTTGGCCCTCAGCGTTGTAGCCCAGCTCCAGATCGACTCAGCAATCATCCAAGAATCCCCAGTTACTTCATTTTAACAGCTTTATTGACAACTAATGTATATTAATTGAGGAAGATTTTTTAGAGTCCACCATCCAAGTACTAGAATGTTTATTCCTGTGGCTTTTTGTGTTTTTTTAAGTATAGTCTCACAATTCATTGATATAGTTCCCACTAGTGATGGGGTTTATACCCTCTTTAATATGGGTGGGCTTGTGACTCTTTCAGCCAGTAGACACGGGGAAGTGAAGCCACATGACTTCTGAAGGTAGGTCATTTAAGACCCTGAAGCTTCCATCTGGTTCTCTCGGAGCATCACTCTCTGAAGGCCCCTCTCAAGGAAGTCGTTCTGAGGGAAGTCAATCACCAGGCAAACGCTCTGAATACTGGGGGGCTGCCACGTTGGGAAGGCTGCACAAGGGCAGGTTCTGGGGATCTAATGTATCATAGATGACTGTAGTTACTAGAGTTCACAGTACTGCATTATATACCTGAAAGTTGCTAAGAGAGTAAATCTTAAATGTTCTCACCACACACACGAAAGTAATTATGTGAGGAGATGAGCGTGTGAACTAACCTTATTGTGGTCATCATTTTGCAATATATGTGTGTATCAAATCATCGTGTTATACACCTTAAACTTACACAATGTTATATGCCAATTACATCTCAATAAAACTGGAAAAAAAGAGAAAGGATCTTGTACTCTGTAAATATTTATAGGGTGCTAACTTAATGCTCAATTACATTCATTTTTTTCTTCATTCTGTTTCTGATTTTTATGGAGCTTTTCCTTCAATTTTCAATTTCAAATCATTTTGTTTTATAATTATGTAAAATATTTAAAATATATAAAACAAGTTTGATTCAGAAAAGTCTTCCTTACATCTCTACTCTATGTCTTTCATCTATCTACTCTGTATAACCAATTATATATATTTTTTTGATTCACTTCATTAAAAATATTTTGGCATATTTACACACTGTTTTTTACCTTAATTTTTCTCATTTAATGATATGTTCTAGAGAATACAGACATATTTCTCCTTCCTTTTTACAGTTGCAGAGTATAATTTATTGTATAGATGGTCATATCTGAGTCATTTCTGTGTTTTTTTGTACTATTATAAATTTTGCTTTCAGTAAGTAGCCAGTGCATGAAGAACACATTTTTTAATGTCGATTTAAAGTAGGAAAATTTATTTTATGTTATCATTGAATTTGCTGAGGTAAACAAAAGTAACACATAACTTTAGTTTGTTTCTGAATTCCATTGACTATAATTAAAATCAATGTCTCCTAGATACTGATGTGATGGGCTCTGCCAACTTGGAAATGGGGATGATCTTCCTCACTCAGACAGGAGTCGGAATCCTGGGAAACTCCTTCCTCTTTTGCTTCACTTGGCTCGCTGAACACAAGTTGAGACTCACAGACCTGATTATCAACCAGCTGGTCTTAGCTAACAACTTGGTTCTTTTCTCTAAAGGGATCCTTCAGACAGTGGCGGCTTTTGGGTTGAAATTTTTTCTCCATGATGCTGGGTGTAAATTTGTCTTCTATTTACACAGAGTGGGCAGGGGGGTTTCCCTCAGCACAACCTCCCTCCTCAGTAGTTTCCAAGCCATTAAGCTTAACTCCAGTTTCTCTAGGTGGATGGAGCCCAGAATTCGATCCCCAAAGTGCATTGGCTTCTGCTGTTTTCTCTGCTGGATTCTGCATCTCTTAGCAAATACCTACATTCCTATGAGAGTGACTGGACAAGTGAGGAGGAAAAACATAAGTTTGAAAAGATTTGGATACTGCTCTCTGACCATACAGGACAGTTCAATTGTTTCAGTATTTACAATCACATATGTTTTCGTTGATATGATATTTTTGGGTCTCAAGGTCTGGGCAAGTGGCTCCATGGTCCTTGTCCTGCACAGGCACAAGCAGCAAGTCCACCACATTCACAGCCACAGCCTTTCCCCCAGACCCTCCCACGAGGCCAGAGCCACACACGCCATCCTGGTCCTGGTGAGCGCCTTTGTCTCCTTTTACTCAGTCTCCTCCATTTTGACTCTTTGTTTTACTTTAATTGTGAATCCAAGTCAGTGGCTGATGGACACCTCTGTGCTCATGGCTGCATGTTTCCCAGCCTTCAGCCCCTTCGTGCTCATCAGCAGCGACACTCGTGTCTCTCGGTTTAGCCTCACCTGCTGGACAAAGAAAACATTTTTTTCTAACCTAGTTAAACAACTTCAAGTCTTCTGAACTTGGCAGAGAATCAGTTATTATTTTCATCATTTGTTAATATGTAGGTGACTCTTCAGTGCCATGTATGGTAGGAATTTTAATCCTATGTGAACAAGAACAGTCATGTCTCTGCCATCTCAAAACTGAGAGTGCAGTGGAAAATTATTTACATAATCCTACAAAGAATTATTTATCTTGTGCTATGTTTTTAAGCATAAAAGTTCAGACTTTTCAGATGAAATAATGAGGAGAAATTGCTAAATTTATGGATTCAAGGGAAGAGTCATTATTATTAGGTTCTTAGGCAGGTTATTGATATATTTTTATTTCTATTTCAAAGACAGCTGGCTTAAGCTCTGTCTGGCAGAGGGGAATCAAGTGGAATGACCTTGTGTTGGAAATAATGTGCAGCCGACAGGGAATGGACAGAAACCCAGTGTTTTTAGCTCAGAGAGCCATGGGCGAGGGACAGGAAATGAACGAGGAAGGGTGCCAGCCTGCTCTAACAGAGGGCACTGTACTTGCTGAATTTTGTCCCAGGATGATTGGCTAACGAAGGGGTTCATTCATTAGCTTTGCTGATTATAACTATTTCAGCAAATATTCAATTCATATAGATTGACGTAATTCTATTAAACTTGCATATTACTACTTTCTAATTTTAAATATTTTAGTACGATAATCTTCAAAGAGAATTCTTTTCCAATTTTTAATTTTCAGCTTTTGTCAAATACATTTAAAAACATGATAAAAAGTCATATATTTTATTTTTTATTTTCTTTGTGTGTTGTCTCAGCTAAAGTCACGAGTTCTAAGGAGCTTCATTTCCTTTTTTTTTTTTTAGTTTCAAAGTTTACGGGCATAGTATGAGTTCTTTCTTTTCAATTATCTGATGATTTCATCTAGTCAATTACAGCTTATCATGATCTTCATAAAGGATTTCAATTTTTCTTAAAGACCTAGGGAATTTATGTCAGCACTTGTGGATTTATGTAAGCAAGATGTGGATAATGCCTGGAGCTGAACTGCGTTTCTGCAACTGTACCAGCTTGTGTTTAGTTGTGCACCATCATTACGAGGCGTGAATGGTCACGGAGGTCCACAGCCCTACCATTTTGTGATGGATCTGTCCCATTTCTACATCGACTCACGTGTTCTGTAAATAATGCTGCACTTCTATTTGTGCAAAATCTGTGAAGTGGGCTTATGCTTCCTGTTACCTCAATTCTCAGAGACTTTCCAGTTGGAAAAATGGAGTGCATCTTCCTTCTCCGTGGTTTCAGATGAATTCCAACGAACACACCAAGGTCCTAACACTTGCTCACAGCAGTCCTAATACAATTTTATATCACAGTTTGTACCTGAATAATTAGCAACAAGCATTCAGTGAAGAAATATGGGGCAGGAACAGTGGGTAAGTTCACACAATCTGCTTTGGCGGCCCAGGATTCGCAGGTTTGGATCCTGGGTATGGACCTACGCACTGCTCATCAAGCCATGTTGTGGCGGCGTCCCATATACAAAAAAAAAAAAAACAGGAGGGGGAGATGGGCACAGATGTTAGCTCAGGGAGAATCTTCCTCAGCAAAAAGAGGAAGATTGGCAACAGATATTACTCAGGACCAATCTTCCTCACACACACAAAAAAAGGAAATATACCTTAGCCTAGTTAAACACATAGTTAATCTATGAAGCCATAGATAAATACATGTCCACTGATTCGACCACTTCTCTAGCAGGTCCAACCAGTTCAACGTAGCAGCAAGTTCTTGGTCACTTTGCACTCACTCCCTCTCACCCCACATGTTGCACCTCATGAATATATTTCTCTCATCTATTCATTTCTCATTTCTTCTTTCTCATTTCTTGCACCTAGAAGTAGCAGGAAAAAGACAAGACTTCCAGCATGAAGAAGATAGGACTTTTCCATTTATCGTGAACATGAATATTTGCTCGTTTATTTTTTATTAAATACACTAAATGGTGCTTTAATCCAAAAAGAAGTTGGATTCCTAAAAAAATCAGATGTGGCTTCTTTTTTTGTGTGTGAGGAACATCAGCCCTGAGCTAACATCCATGCTAATCCTCTTCTTTTTGCTGAGGAAGACTGGCTCTGAGCCAACATCTATTGCCAATTCTCCTCCCTCTCTTTTTTTCCCCCCAAAGCCCAGTAGACAGCTGTATGTCATAGTTGCACATCCTTCTAGTCGCTGTATGTGGGACGCGGCCCCAGCATGGTCGGAGAAGCGGTGCGTCGGTGCGCACCCGGGATCCAAACCTGGGCCGCCAGCAGTGGAGCGCGCTCACCCAACCGCTAAGCCACGGGGCCGGCCCCAAGACGTGGCTTCTTTTTCATGGGAAATCCATGATTTCTGTCAGCCCAGGCCTTGAAACAAGCATTTCTAGGATGTCATATCCCCGCAGAAAGAGGATGCTGTGAGAAAAAAAGAGACCAGTGTTAGTTCACTGAAGAAGGCAGATGGGGCGTGGAGCATGAGTACTTTGCACAGATCTTTTTCAGGGCTGGTACTGAATAACCACCCAGGCCACATGCAGTCCTTCATCTCATAGATGCCCCTCCTGAGAGCTGATGCAGACGAGACTCTCAGGAGCAATTTCCTTCTCTTTGGTCTTGTCATTAACACTCAGGAAAGAAAACACTATGCAGTAAATGGACTTACCTACTTCAAAAATTTGGAAGCAGACAAATATTTTCCTAGCTATTACTTTATTTATAGCTTATGGTCCTACACTGTGTAGATTTATGTGAGCCAAAACTTAAGCATTGAAATTTTTCCTGCCTCTAGTCTCAATAAAAGCACTCTTCATACGTGTACAGACTACACGTGAAAATTCTTGGTCTCTTAACATGTCATCTGCCATAGGAAGACCCTTCCCCTGACTCCCACTGCCAGGCTGCCCCACGTGGGGACCACTCCTCATCCTGCCTTTCCCTCTCGGATGTGAAGTGGATCAGACTATGACGCCCCAAAATATGCCACTTTGGCATAAGAATTATTTTGTGCTGAAAGCACTCGATTTCCTGAAATCCTTTATCTGCCTGAAAGCAGAGCCTCTGGAAAGAACTCAGTTGTCATTAATGCCCTCCCCAGAAGCAACTCCAATCTTCTCAGAGAGGAGAAGTCGGCAGCACACCCAGATAGACGTTGTGACAAACTATCCTGTCTCCCATCTATTCAACTAAGGGCCCATTTATCTTACCAAAAACTCATTTGCTTTTCCGTAAATGATCTTTCTCCCCCTCCCTTTCCCCCAATAAATTAGGTGCAAAGATCCCAAGTTCTAACCACCCCTTTGAGTTACTCATCTCCGGGTACTGCCACGTGTATGCGTATGCCTGATGCACATGCTAATCAACTCTCAATTGTTTTTCTCTGGTTAATCTGTCTTTTGTCATCCAATTTACAGGGCCTCAGCTGGATAAGCTAAGATGGTAGAAGAAAAAGATTTTTTTCCTTCCCTACGAATATAATATTAGCTTTGACTTACTATGCTGGCCGGGGATTCAATTTGGTCTTTCCCACTACAATAGGTTTTACTCTACAGGTTAAGGAATCGATGTGAGATTTCTGACAACTGTTTAATGAGTCCATTCCATTTATACATTTGGCAACTAGAGAAATGACCATTAGGTGGGTTGGTCCTGAGGGAGGTGGACTGGAGCCAGCCAAGCGTGGATTTCTTAGCTGACCCCCATGTGCCTCTGACAGGAGGGATGACGGCATGTTAGGTCTCTGGGTATCAGCAGTGATTAGGGCTCTATATTCGACAACTCTCCAAAGGCATGAGCTTTATTCTTTCCCTGGTACCCAAATCAATGTCTGTAGGTCCCTTTCAGGGAGGGCTGGGAGAAGCTCAACTGTGCATACTTGCTATTGTCCTGCACACTCATTCCTCCTGATGACCTGACACCTCCTTCAATCAATAAGTTCTAGGTACATATGGGGGCTAGGTCTGGGAACTGGCCAGGGCATCAACTCTCAGTTGCTCAGGAGAAGCTCATATATGGGCTAAACAGTACATTCGATGTGGCAGTTCAGAAATCCAACCAGTGAGTCAATAATTTGTCTTTAGACTTCGGGTGGTAAAAAGCTGTAGGAGAATGGAGACAACCAGTGTGGAGCTCTTCCCTGCAAATGTTGGAGGTTGAAGCAAAGGTGAAAGAGGCACATTCCAGGGAGAAAGTGAGTGTCTAAGTTGGAAATTCGAGTCCATTACACTTTAAGACAATGACGGAGAAGACATTGAAAGGAAGACATATGTGGACCAAGATTTTTCAAGGGTGGTTTGATGAAGGATGCAGGTAGGAGATCCCAGAGGGAAGGAAGGGGTGACATCAGAATGGCCTGGGTTATTTAATGTACCTGAATATATCACTCCACCACCCCCACTTTCAGAAAGCTAAATCAATACACATCAATCAATGACCATCAATATATGGACCATTAACACGGCTGAACATCTTGTATAGATGTATTTCATCCAATAACAAAAATACTAAGCTGTTTCCACTCTCCTCATAAAGTTGATACTTAATATTGTTACATGAGAAATATATAGCATAGTCTTGATCATGTAAGCCCCCTTACTCCATATAACTGTCTCCGAATCCTTGTGCAGTTCCGCTACATAAAGAGAAAGTACGTAGTGGTTTACAAGAGAAATGGGCTTGAGAGAGTGCAGATGGGTAGCATAGGTAACTCTACTAAATATATCTTGGTGAAGTGGGGCAGTGTGATTTTGTCCCCTGAGTAGTAAGTAAATGCTGGGTCAGATTTGGGGCTTGGTGATATAAAGCTGTTGGCATCCACTGTAGAAAGACAAGCACAAAGGAGAGAGAGATTAAAAGCAAATAAAAAGGCTGCTTGAGGTTTTTCTTTTTTCTTTTTTTTTTGCTGAGGAAGATTTGCCCTGAGTTAACATCTGTGCCACTCTTCCTCTATTTCATATGTGGGTCCACTGACAAGTGGTGTAGGTCCGTGCCGGGGAACTGGCCC